ATTTATCGGGAGAAATCACTTTGACATGCAGGGTCAATCCAGAAAAAGAATACATTAATGGGGATTTCATGGACATATGCGAACACAATACTATGCATTCTAATGAACTATAAAAATCCCAGTGAAAAGGAAGGTATATTTCAACCTTTGCAAAAATCAAACTCTGAACTGTTAGCAAGTCAATTTTTAACACATACCATTAACAGCATTTACTAGACAGAATAGAGAATTTAATTCAGCTTTGTAGGTAATATAGTGGAGATGGAGAAATTTATGAATGATCAAGCAAGTAGTACAAAGTTATAAAAGTACAACAATCACAAACAGAATAAGTTGATAGAATAGAGGTTTTGTGAGCAGTGATCTAAAGTAAGAAGCGTAATATCACCTTCTGGGACTCATTCAAATTTCCCTGCAATATCCATTTTGGGAAAACATCAGACTGACACTTTCAAAAAAAATCTGAGCACTGACACTCTTTAGAAAGTAAAATGGAAAAGGAGATCTTGAAAAATACATACAAAAGAGAAGGCCATAAAATTTGGTTACACGAATAGATGCATATACATTTGGATTGCCAGAGATCTTTTGTTACAATTGTTTAGAATTTGCCGAGCCAAATTCAAGGTGCAGGTTATGACCTATAAAACCCTAAACGGTTTGGGCCCAATTATCTTTGCGATCACATCTCCTTCTATGAACTGGGGCAAGCTCTAAGATTTCCGGGGAGGCCCTCCTTTCACTCCCACCACAAGTATGGTTGGTGGGGACAAGAGGGAGGGAGTGGTGGCCCCCGCCTCTGGAACGCCCTTCCAAGCGAAATAAGACAGACCCCATCCCAGGATTGTGGCTCAGCTGGCTGAGTGTCAGCTGCATTAAGATCACTCTGACCAAAAGGTCATGAGTTCGAAGCCAGCCCAGGTTGGAGTGGGTTTCCAACCATTGTGTAGCCTGTTGTCGACCTTTGCAACCCGAAAGACAGTTGCATCTGTCAAGTAGGAAAATTAGGTACCACCTTAAAGTGTGGGGAGGCTAATTTAACTAATTTACGAGGCCATAAAAAAGACTCCAGCAAAGCATGTGGGGAATGTGGAAGTACTTCCTCAGTGTCGCAGATGGACGATGAAAGCGACAGCTCCCCTGGCGGCCAGAAAAAGTTAAATAGCCTCTGTGTATGTCTGTATATGTTGTATGTCAAAAATTGGCATTGAATGTTTGCCATATATGTGTACACTGTAATCTCCCCTGAGTCCCCTGAGGGGTGAGAAGGGCGGAATATAAATGCTGCAAATTATTTATTGATAAAAAATAATCCCAGCCAATTTACCAGCTGTTAAAATTTCTGGGAGTTTCTGTGAAACAAATAAATCCCCTCCTTTCGTAAGAGCTTCGTAAGAGCTTGAAGACCTGGTGGTTTCAACAAGCCTTTGAGAATGACCAGTTCAAGCCCAGCCCCAAACATTGTTGAATATGGCCTTATACTCCCTACCTATTACCCCAATCATACCCCAATCAGCTTTCATCATACGAAAGCTGACTGGCACAACCTGGGGATCACAACCATACACAGTGAAGACATCTGCCCTTGCGCTATGCTACTCTGCTGCTGAGTATGCATGCCCAGTGTGGAACACATCTCACCACGCTAAAACAGTGGATGTGGCTCTTAATGAGACATGCCGCATTATCAAGGGGTGTCTACACCCTACACCACTGGAGAAATTACACTGTCTAGCCAGTATTGCACCACCTGACATCCGCCGGGAAGTAGCAGCCAATAGTGAAAGGACCAAGGCAGAGACATCTCAAGCTCATCCCGTTTGGGTATCAGCCAGCACGTCAACGACTTAAATCCAGACATAGTTTTCTAAGATCTACAGAGACACTTGCTGGAACACCTCAGCAAGCGAGAGTCCAAAAGTGGCAGGCTCAAACCCAGCACCTCAATATGGGTGATACCAGATGAGAGACTCCCCCCTGAGCACTCAGAAGACTGGGCGACTTGGAAGGCGCTGAACAGACTGCGCTCTGGCACCACGAGATGCAGAGCCAACCTTCAGAAATGGGGCTACAAAGTGGAATCCTCGGCATGCGAGTGCGGAGAAGAACAAACCACTGACCACCTGCTGCAATGCACCCTGAGCCCTGCCACATGCACAATGGAGGACCTTCTTGCGGCAACCCCAGAGGCACTCCAAGTGGCCAGATACTGGTCAAAGGACATTTAACCAAATACCAAATTTGCAAAATCTGTGTGTTTTTTTCCTTTTTCTTTTTAATCTGTGTGTTTGTTTTGCTCTGTTAGAATTGTAATACAATGGTTGCTGATGACACGATAAATAAACCCCAATCATCCCTCAAATAGGTCCTGGAAATGAACAGCCACAGACCCGTACCTGCTATTGCTGTTAGCCTGTTATAGCACTGTACTTAATTCCCGGCCCCCTCATATTTTGAATTTGCACTAGCCTCGGCCCGGCCTTTTAATTGTTCTGAACAGGCAGGATTATTTTTAATATATATGTGTAATTGTCATAATTTTATGCTTATGTTGTTTTGTTAATTTTGTTATGCTGTTTTCTCTGTATTTTTTGGTGATGTTGCTTGGAAACCACCCTGAGTCCCCCTCGGGGAGATAGAGCGGTATATATAGTTGTTGTTCTTCTTCTTGTTGTTGTTGTTGTTATAGAAGAATGCCTCTTATGCAGACTGTACAACATGCCAAAAAAATCCCATATTTTGGGGTGTGTGAATGATAAAATGAAGAAGTATCTTGTACATATAATCCGATTTGAGATGAAGTTTACCCTGCATTTTATTTATAATCAATGTTGATCAAAGGATGGTGAATGCATCACAAAGAACCAAATGCACTTGGAGAATATGGACACTAATTTAACTTTGCCAAGAAATGTAGGCCAATTTCATATATCTGAAAGCAATACTTTTATTTGCTATTCAGATAGAATATATTCTTGTTAATAGCTACTTCCAACAGTCAACCTTGTGCATCATGAATTTTGAATATCCCTTATTGCTGTTCTGAAAACCTGGCAATCCCTCCCACATAAGATATGTGCCAGAGGTGTCTGGTTAAAATTCTCACGTTGAACAATAAAATATCATATCTTCATTGCAATGAGCATATGAAATAATTTTGGCCTCTGAAAGAGGATCTAATAGAGTGAATGAGAATGAAAATCACCCTCCTGTAGTAAAATTGGGTAGTTTTATCACCACTTATTGGAAACATTTCTTATCAAGACGACATGACAACGTACATCATACTATTTACAGCTTATTTGCCTTTTATAGATTAAAACCACTCAACAAAGGAGAAAGAAATAAGTCATGCTTATAATCTTGCGCAGAGTACAATAATCCCATATGTATATAAAGCCTGTAAAACTCTGTCTTCTTAGATTAAAAAAGGCACCACACCATGTCATGATGAGTATTTGTAGCCACTGGTTTCCGAGCTCTTAATCTTCATCAGGATATTATTTTCTATAGCTCACAAGTAGGTATTAGTGCTGTTTCACACTATGCACAAGTAGGTCACCAATGTATAAGAAATGAGTGTGCAACGGCTTGATACATGTCATTGTTACATTTTACACTTCACATTGCTGCCTCTGCATTTAAAAGACATTTAAAATGGACTGCCTGAAGAGTTCCTTAAAGGCAGAGAGAATATTGCAAGCATATTGGCTATAAATCACCAATGGAGAAACATTATACTGTAAAAGCAGTTTCAACATAGTCATTTCTCTTGGAAAGCTGGAGACTCGTGAGATTAGAAATTGAAATTCTACTGCCATGTGTACAAGCAGTTGATCTGTAAGTGTGGCTCATAAAACTATGGGTTTATACAGTCTTAAAGTGAAATATATATGTTGCCACTTTAGTGAACAATTTTGCTGAGTGTTTATTTCAATCTTTGGAGGATTTTAAAGGATTTGCCAATATGTTTGTGAAACAAAGCTCTGACGCTACAATTAATGTGTATTTTCAAAGAAATTATATTTATTAGTACCGGTACTCTACATGTTAAAGATAAACACATTGGTGCTCAGGCATGTAGCCGGGGGGGGGGGCTTGAGGGGCTTCAGCCCCCCCCCGAAATTCTCATGGTGGTTCACGAAAAGGCCTTATTGGTGCATTATTTAAACTGTTATGTTTATTCATATCATGATCTGATCACCCTGCTCAATATTTATTTATTTATTTACTTTGTTTGTATACCGCAGTTTTTCAGCCCGTAGGCGACTCAACGCGGTTCACAACATAGCAAAAACAGTCATAACAAAATAGCAATAAATGATTTAAAAACCATGAAAGCACAAAATACAGTAATGGCACATCAATAACAACACAACAACGTCTCGTAACTAGAATCGTGATCCAATTCATCGTCTATAATTCCGTTCCTATATTCATCATATTCATTGCACTGTTTATCTGAATGCCTGTTCAAACAGCCAGGTTTTTAGCTTTTTTCGAAACACCATTAACGTTGGAGCTGATCTTATGTCCATGGGAAGGGCGTTCCACAGCCGAGGGGCCACCACAGAGAAGGCCCTGTCCCTCGTCCCCGCCAGCCATGCTTGTGATGCAGGCGGGATCGAGAGCAGGGCCTCCCCAGAAGATCTCAAATTATTCATATCACCATATATATCCCATATGCATGGGGGTATTGGGGTAATGATACAAAAGGTTTGCTAGGCTAGACCCTCTTTCACTCAGACTCAGCCCCTCCCGAAACTCAGCCCCCCCGAACCCCCCCTGAAAAAAACTCAGCCCCCCCCCCCCCGAATCGAAATCCTGGCTACGGGCCTGTTGGTGCTATAAGCAATCTATTAATTCGTACAAGCATTGGACACTGTAGGGGAAAGTTATGGATTTCTCTACATATTGCTAAAATCCCATTGGTTCTCTGTTTAATGGAACAGGTTAGCAGATTAGACCATCAGAGAGAGAAGCGAAAAGTTAATTCTTACCCTTATTCTCACAGTGACCGAAGCAAGTCCTGGAGGCATTGTTCCCCCAATATCGAAGGCCTCCACCAAAAATGTGAAAGTTGCATCTGCATCAGGAAATGATTCAAAATCCAAGGACTTTAAAAGTGACAGTTCCCCTGTAAATCTGTTCAGTTTAAAAAACTGTCGTGCTTCTGCAGTTCGTATTCCATAAGTGATATTAGATCCAAGGTCAGTATCTTTAGCCTAGAAGAAATGAAGAACAAGGGTTTGGCTTATAAGAAAAATAGTGTATACATGTGTCATAAAAACATAGAAAGTCAGAATTTATTATATCTGAAGTTTACAGTTTTACAATCCATCTCTGCCGAAGAGGGCTGGTGCCTCACTAAATTACAAATCCAGGATTCTACTTCCCTGACCCACGTCAATTAATGTTGTGTCAAATTGCATTAATTCTATAGTGTGGATCCACCTCCAAAGTCAATACTCATTGTCATTTTGTCCCCCACTCACCCATTCTTATGTAGTATGGGGATTTCAAATCACCTCTTGGACTGGAAGGATTTTTTTCTTGTCATATCATACTTAGCTGTCAGACACTTTTTTCATCAACTCCATACTATATAATTTTGGAAACTTTGGGATGATTTTATGATTTCACTAAATTGATTAATTGCCATCCATATGCTACCAATGGCAGGGGATCTTAACTGGAGTTGCATACAGGGAGCGTACCACTCCTCTGTTGTGCCAGCTCCACTGGCTGCCAATTAGCTTCCGGGCACAATTCAAAGTGCTGGTTTTAACCTTTAAAGTCCTGAACGGTTCTGGCCCAGAATACCTGTTCGAACATATCTCCTGCTATGAACCATCACGAAGCTTAAGATCATCAGGAGAGGCCCTGCTCTCGATCCCACCACTCTCGCAAATGCGGTTGGTGGGGACAAGAGACAGGGCCTTCTCAGCAGGGGCACCCCATCTGTGGAACTCTCTCCCTAAGGATATCAGGTTGGCCACCTCCCTCCTTTCCTTTAGAAGACAACTGAAGACCTGGCTCTGGGACCAGGCATTCAATTAGAGGACAGCAGCAATAGGAAAAGGAAATTTGGATTTTGCGATATGGATTCTCCCAGCTCGGCTTAGTTTTACTGGCATGTTAATCTATTAATTTATTGTTAAATGTTACGGATGATGTAGTATAATGTTTTAAAATGATTTTATTGTAAATTGTAATTTTTATTGTAATTATGCTGTTAGCATCCTCTGATGCTCATGTGAGGCCGCGCTGAGTCCCCTTTGTGGGGAGAAGGGCGAGATATAAATATATGAAATAAATAAATAAAATAAATTGGGTTTACTCAAGGGAATGTCTTTCCATAGGTCCCTAAATGGCTCCGGCCCAATTTAACTGTCTAAACATATCTCCCCCATGAACCATCATGGAGATTAAGATCCTCCGGGGAAGCCCTGCTTTCTGTCCTGCCATTGTCACAGGCATGATTGGTGGGGATGAGAGACAGGGCCTTCTTGGTGATTGCTCCCCGGCTATGGAACTCCGTTCCTGGTCAGATCAGGTTGGCCCCCTCTCTTCTGTCCTTTAGAAGGATGGTAAAACTTGGCTGTGGGACCAAGCTTTCAGGACAGGGCAATAAAGCAGCAATAGGAAAGATTACCAGGCCAATTAGATTTGACGCAGATGACTAGGACAGTTTTAAATGGTGTATTTTAATATTTTGATAAATGTTTTCAATGTTTAGGTATGTGTATATGAATTTGTGTCCCGGCATTGGATATTTGCCATATATATGCTGTGCCCCACCCTGAGTCCCCTTCGGGGCGAGAAAGGCGGAATATAAATGTTTTAAATAAATAAATAGGCTGCTGCATGGTCATAAAGTTGTGGTCTTATTTCACCAACTCCTGTGTATGGTATTACCATTTGGGTGGAAGGGCAATGACATCCACTTCGTCTGAAATCTGAGGATCTTGGTTAGAAAAGAGGAAAACCATAAAACTCATTTAAGAACAAGAGTAAATGTTTAGAGCAGTTACCATGGATGCAAAATAAAAGGTCATTATCTTTTCCATTCCTTTCTTTGGTTTATATTAGGCATTACCTAGACTAGGAAGTTTATGTGTTTACATATTCAATCCTCTCTTTACCCCCAGGGTTCCTCCTCTCTATTTTCAATTATATATGCATTTCTTGTAAGTTCATTAATTCCTCCAGCTCCATCAGGCCCTACCGAAATCCCTAATTACTTCTCTCCATACTTGAGAGCTATTGCAGTTCATATGTTAAAGGTCTCCTATAGTTCCTTCTTTTTTATACCTTGGCATAAAAAAAAGGTATAAAAAAGAAGGAACTGTGGAAAGGAAAGCATCATGCACTGGTTTATTTGCAAACAACTTGTTATGCAAAAGCTTAAAAATTCAAGCAGAAAAGGATCTGCTTCCACATTTCAAAGGAGAAAGCAAGTCAGCAAGTATGTTTCGTTACATACTAAAATAGTATTTATCTTTTAAAAAATCTCATGCCTATCTGAATATACACAGATGTTATCATGATTCATAGGTATTCCCTTGCTGCAAACTACAAAGTTTTGCTTTACAGTCATGAAAGTAAATACGCTAAAATAGGTTGCTGAGCTAAGAAAACTTTACAGGCCAATTTACTTCGTTGCTTCCAGAAGCAATGTGTTAGAGTCTAGATGTTATAGATTGTAAAAGATACTAAGGTTATTAGGGAGTAATAATTTAGCAATTTTTTTTGAAAATACAATGTAGGAATGCGGTGAGGGAAGGATATTGAATAGTGGCTCAAGATATCTGAACCTAGACCCTAATTATCAGTTTAATTTAATAAGAAAATTTAGGGCCCATCTACATAGGCCAAATGAGCCAGGGTGAAAGAAAGGATTGCTTGAGGACATGATACATGGGGTCCATTTGCCTTAACACAACCTTGCCAAACAGTAAAGGAAATTACGGGATGCTCTGGAACTTCTCCGAACTTCCAGAATTTGTCTGCATTTTGTGCCAGTGTGAACAGTTGGACCACTTCCTATTCATATAGCCATCCTACTTTCCCAGGGCTTGGGCAGCCTGGGTCCTGGAGGTGGCACTTATATTTCACCTATTGGTCTGGCCTTTGTAGCAACCTCCAGGCACAAAACTGGTGATGGTCATTGTCCAACACCTGTAGGGATACCAGCCAGAGCAATAAAGTGATCAAATAAATGTTGGAGGGGGGAGGGAACAATTCTTCCTTTCTCCCCTCCTCAAGCTTGTGTTGCTTCATTATTCTAGCTACCATTAGTATCATTGCCATTTTCATATCCTGTAGGGCCAGACTGAAAGGTAAAGGTGTGGGCCTACAGCACCAAACTGCTTCTGACACCCTTGGGATATGTGGATATCATTTAGTTGCCAGGCTAGCACAGTGCAGTACAGTAAGGACACTTGCTATTATTTATTTATTTACAACATTTCTACTCTGCTCTTCTCAACCCCCGAGGGGGGACTCAGAGGGGCTAACTGGCAACAATTCGATGCCACAGTATCACTATAGACCAAACGCTGACCATTGGCCTCATCAGACAGGGCAATTTTAGCATCTAAGATGCTTCCACCCTGTTTTGGGGACAGTTCCCCATTCCAGCCATCAAAGTACATTGTGTGACTTCTGGTGGAAGCTCTGCCCTCAACCAGGATGGGCCTGCTTGTGTTGAGCTGACGCCAATGGAGCCAGCACAGGTCCTCGCCAGGAGAGAGACACTTCCCATATGTGATGGGGAAAACATTACTGTGAGGGAGTGGTGGATGATGTGACAGATCCACCCCACTGCCCCCTTTGACCAGTGGCTTCACCTAGCCTTTGTGATGAGGTTGCATGTGGACTTCAGCAGTGCGTAGATGGTCCCTTTTTTGTACAGACTTCTATCTATTGAAAACATGAAATATAAATTGTAGAAGTGCATAGCAAGATGCTTGTAACACTTCATTGAAATGTCAGGAGAGAATGCCTCTAGAACATGGCCATATAGCCCGAAAAAACCTACAGCAACCCAGTGATTATGGCCATGAAAGCCTTCAACAATACATCTTCATTGATTTCTTTCTTGGATGGAAGAAGGCATCATTTCATCTATTTTGTCCTTACTTTTTGAGAATGCAAGCATTTCTGCATAGTATTTCAATAGTGGGTATACTTTGAAACTTCAGAAGAGGAAAATGCATATCTGCATTAAAAATATCAATGTTCTGTTCAGGAAATGTGTTTTTTGTTAGAAAACATGCATTTTGTAAAAAAGTTGTACTGATACCCAAAGACGTAGGAATTTGCATATATGTATCAACTGTAGAAAGTTGAGCAAAGACATTTAAATAGAAGTAATCCACACAAATATATCCATTTGTACAGAAAAAAGGATTATCTGTGAAAAAAGCCCTACATAAAGCAACTCCCTACTTTTGCACAATAATCAGTTTATTTTGAACAAAATATACATTTTCCATCCAAAAATATACCCTATGTTCAAGACTGTAGAATCTTGTGCAAATGATCTCTACCCAACAAAGGACCCAAATATCTTAATGGTGGTCTCTTTTTCCTAGACAAGGTTGTCTTGATACCCCCATATCTTTATTGGCTTCAAACTACAAGAAAGGAGATTCCATCTGAACATGAGGAAGAACTTCCTGACTGTGAGAGCCGTTCAGCAGTGGAACTCTCTGCCTCGGAGTGTGGTGGAGGCTCCTTCTTTGGAAGCTTTTAAACAGAGGCTGGATGGCCATCTGTCAGGGATGATTTGAATGCAATATTCCTGCTTCTTGGCAGGGGGTTGGACTGCATGGACCATGAGGTCTCTTCCAACTCTTTGATTCTATGATTCTACGATTGATCAAGGCTGCACACATGCATCAGTATTCTTTCCATCTTCACTTTACTATTACAAATAATATATTTGTAAATGATGTAGGCAAATATATGAGATCAAGTTTTACATTGCAGAATCTATTATTCCATCTGAATTATTATGTCCGTGGAACTCAGGCCTCTCTTACCTCTAAACGTAGGAAGACTGTGCCTGGGGACAGGTTTTCAGGAATGGTCACTGTATAAGAAGCATTAGTAAACACTGGGCTGTTGTCATCTATATCCAGAACTTTGATACCCAGAGTTAATGTTGTACGACGAGCATCCACAGCTCCATCTGTTGCTTCAACAATGAGTTCGTAATAGTCCTTTTTTTCTCTATTTAACTTTACTGATGTATAAATGCTGCCATTAGAGGTTATACGAAAAAGATGGTTGAGATTTGCCAAACTGTACCGGACTTGGCCATTTACTCCAGCATCAGGATCAGTAGCCTAAAAGAAAAAATGTATTTCATTAGAAGCAAGCAACATGTAGTGTAAGGAGATGCATTTCAGGTCATTACACGAAATTGTTTTTTTAATTATCTAATCTCGAGCTCTATGATTTGGAAAAGCCTGGACATTCAAAATGATTACATATGCATCCATGAAAAAAAATCACATTGCAATGTTTTTTGCACACCCCAAGCAGACATAATCCAGTAAAAATATGTTGGCCTGCTATTACTTCATTTAAGAAACTAAAGTTCATGGCAACAATCTTAAAGTCAGGTAGGATCTAGATGAATATATTTATCAGGGTTTTAGATTTTTCAACCTATTCCTGAAAATAGTAGCTAGCTAACTCATCAGCTCTGTCCAATTCTATAAATCTCCTGCTTTCTAGAATTTTCTAGATTAACTTGCAGAGAAGGAAACTCTCAGAAGACTAGATTTAGTCCCCCATTTCCATGGATCTAAGGATACTAACACCCATAATTTGAAAACATCTATATAAATAAAAATGCAATGTTTGTTTGTAGGATTAACATAACTCAAAAACCACTGGACGAATTGACACCAAATTTGGACAGAATATGCCTAACAACCCAATGAGTGACCATCACTCAAAAATGATTTTGTCATTTGGGAGTTGTAGTTGCTGGGATTTATAGTTCACCTACAATCAAAGAGCATTCTGAACTTCAGTAATGATAGAATTGAACCAAACTTGGCACACAGGACTTCCAAGACCAATAGAAAACAATAGAAGGGTTTGGTGGGCATTGACCTTGTCTTTTGGAGTTATAGTTTACCTACACCCAGAGAGCACTGTGGACTCAAACAATGATAGATCCGACCAAACTTGGCATGAATACTCCAAATGACCAAATATGAACACAGATGAAGTTTGGGGGTAATAGACATTGACATTTTGGAGTTGTAGTTGCTGGGATTTATAGTTCACCTACAATCAAAGAGCATTCTGCACTTCATTAATGATAGAATTGAACCAAACTTGGCACACAGGACTTCCAAGACCAACAGAAAACAGTAGAAGGCTTTGGTGGGCATTGACCTTGACTTTTGGGTTATAGTTTACCTACACCCAGAGAGCACTGTGGACTCAAACAATGATAGATCTGGAACAGACTTGGCATGAATACTCCACATGCCCAAATATGAACACAGATGGAGTTTGGGGGGAATAGACATTGTCATTTGGGAGTTGTAGTTGCTGGGATTTATAGTTCACCTACAATCAAAGAGCATTCTGAATCCTACCAACGATAGAATTGAACCAAACTTTCCACACAGAACCCCCATGACCAACAGAAAATACTGTGTTTTCTGATGGTCTTTGGCGACCCCTCTAACACCCCTTTATGACCTCCGCAGGGGTCCCGATCCCCAGGTTGAGAAATGGTGCCTTAAGGCCATCAACTCCAACTCCCTTCACCAGGGCAAGAAAACATAACCAAAGCCCTCCTGATAAAGAACCATCCAGCCATAGGTATAGATAGATATAATTCACACACACACACATGACAGATTTAGTATCATAGATTTGAAAGGGACCCTAAAGAAGGACAATTATATGTTGCATGTTCCAGAGTAGGCAAACCAGACAATCTCTATATCAACACTGACAAAGAAACAAGAAATACAGTTTACCCACAAGCATAAAGAAATTACATATATTAGAAACCAACACGTTCTCATTACTTTATTTTCCAGATCACCAGACTGGGCCACAGCAACACGTGGCAGGGTATGGCTAGTATTTTATAAATTCCAAAAGCAAACCTTGATTTTGCCATTCCATTTAAGGGACACCATTTTACGACAACACTGTATATAATAATACCCAAGTATTCATAGGTTTTGGTATCCATGGGGGACCCTGGAACCAAACTTCAGTGGATACCAAGGATCCATTATATATGCTCATACTTTCTTCTGATTATTGCTGGTTTCTATTTTGGGTTATGGGTTTCTAGGGTGAATAAGACACATGTCACTCTTCCTCTAGTCACTTTCTGTAGTCACTTCCTTCAACCACTTGCTGATCTGCCATCCAAGTTTCCTTCATGATTTCAAGCTATGCTTGGAAAACTAAGAGGGGAACAGGATTTGAAAGATAAAAGGAGAACATTCAAAATATCAGCACATCTAAGGTGGTATCACCCATTTTCTTAACTTTAATTAAATCAAGGCATAGCAACTTTGGCCATGTAAGTGAAATGAAGTGTACTTCCATCTGTGAACATTTATAAAAGAGTCTCCAGATGACCCCACAAGATAATATAACACAAAAGTCCTTGGTTATCAGCACTACTGTCAGGAAGTTTCCCAAGACATTTAATATCCTGCCATGGTACTCAGTGTGAGGCATGATAATGAAACCATTTATCTTCATGGAATCAATTAAAAGTTAATTAAAATTGTTAATAAAAATTCACACACTTGTTTCCCTTTTGTACTACATCAACACAATAAACATTAATGACTTCAGCTTTCTCCTTCTCTCATGGTAAACATATCCTTATAAACAACATCTTACTATGGCGGCAACATATATCTTACTCCTTTACCACTACTTCTCCAGCAGAAGTGGCAAGTATGTTTAGTGGAAATAGGCTGCTTTCTTGAGATGAAAGCACTGATACAATGGTGATAAATACTGCATACTTTTAGATACCCCAACACAAAAATCCCTTATTTGGAAGTTATACAGTGCTTGTTTCTTGAATATCTCACATTTTTTCATATGACTATGAATCAAGGGGGCTGTGCGGCATTAACTACCAGTATATGTGTCTCCTAACAAATTTGTGATCATCTTGCAGCTCCTCTGTGATGACATGATGGCAACAGCCTTGGACAGCAATGGCTCCCAAATTGACCCATTTAAGGTGGAATCAGGTGTCAAACAGGAATGTGTTATCACCCCAACCTTATTTTCCATCTTCATCGCTGTAATACATCTTGTTGATGGGAAGCTTCCCACCAGAGTGTAAATCATCTATCGGACAGATGGCAAGCTATTTAACCTCAGGAGACTGAAAGCCAAAACCAAGGTTACAACAACATCTGTCATAGAACTGCAATATGCTGATGACAACGTCGTCTGTGCACATTCAGAAGAAGACCTACAAGCCACTCTAAACTCCTTTGCAGAAGCATACGAGAAGCTCGGCCTGTCATTGAACATCGAGAAAATCCAAGTGCTCTTCCAGCAGTCACAAGCCAATCCCTCTGCAATGCCAGAAATACAGCTTAATGGTGTAATATTAGAAAATGTTGACCATTTCCGCCATCTTGGCAGCCACCTCTCCACAAAAGTCAACATTGACATTGAAATACACCGCCTGAGCTCTGCGAGTGCAGCATTTTTCCAAATGAAGCACAGAGTGTTTGAGGACCGGGACATCTATAGGGATACCAAGGTGCTTGTTTATAAAGCTATTGTCCTCCCAACTCTGCTATATGCAGATAGACGTGGACTATCTACAGATGTCACATGCAACTCCTGGAACGATTCCATCAGCGTTGCCTCCGAAAAATTCTGCAAATCTCTTGGGAAGATAAGCAGACAAATGTCACCATGCTGGAAGAAGCAAAGATCACCAGCATTAAAGCGGAGGTCCTCTGCCATCAACTCTGTTGGACCAGCCACGTTGTCCGGATGCCTGACCACCATCTCCCAAAGCAGTTACTCCGAACTCAAGAATGGAAAACGGAATGTTGGAGGACAGGAAAAGAGATTTAAAGATGGGCTCAAAGTCAACCTTAAAACCTCTGGCATAGACACTGAGAACTGGGAAGCCCTGGCCCTTGAGCACTCCAGCTGGAGGTCAGCTGTGACCAGCAGTGCTGTAGAATTTGAAGATGCATGAATAGAGGGTGAAAGAGAGAAACATGCCAAGAGCAAGGCGTGTCAAGCCAACCCTGACAGGGACCACTTTCCACCATCTATATTAATGGTATCACTCTACAAAAATGTAAGACAGCTAGTTCTAGTTCTTGCTTACTTGGATAATGTTTGCTCTGATGTGAGAAGAAGGTATCATCAGTGAATTGTCATGGCAGCTATGAATTACAGCCATCATAAAATGTCCCTTTACAGACCCCTTGGGATAATATGTAGAGATTTGTGGTTAGCGATTATGTATCTTGCACCAAGATTGAGAGGCTGGTCAGCAAGATAGGGAGGAAATAGTAGGTTACAACTTTAAAATGCAGATCAAAACAAGAAACTGTCATAGTAGGGAAAAGGCAGATGCCAGTTAAACTCGCAAAAACAATTCTGCCTGGTCGACTAAATCCCCAGAATGATGCCAAAACAATCATGGATTCATCCAGGTAGAGGATGATTGTGTTGCTCACAGTTGCCCAAAGATATGGAGAGAGAATTGTTATCTGCTACAATTTTGTGGGGCTAAGATTTGTGTATATCTCAACACCATATAATATTTAATAAAAATAAAGATCTTAATGAGACATTAACAAACTTTAAAATAAGGAGAAAATAATTTGCTCTAGCTTTAGGTTTCTACATTGGGGGAGGGTTTGCACCATGTGGTCTGAAAGGATCCCTGTAGTTCTGTGAAAAATAGATCCAGAGGAGGGCGACTAAAATGATCAAGGGTCTGGAGAACAAGCCCTATGAGGAGCCGCTTAAGGAGCTGGGCATGTTTAACCTGAAGAAGAGAAGGCTGAGAGGAGATATGATAGCCATGTATAAATATGTGAGAGGAAGCCACAGGGAGGAGGGAGCAAGCTTGTTTTCTGCTTCCCTGGAGACTAGGACGCGAAACAATGGCTTCAAACTACAAGAAAGGAGATTCCATCTGAACATGAGGAAGAACTTCCTGACTGTGAGAGCCGTTCAGCAGTGGAACTCTCTGCCCAGGAGTGTGGTGGAGGCTCCTTCTTTGGAAGCTTTTAAACAGAGGCTGGATGGCCATCTGTCAGGGGTGATTTGAATGCGATATTCCTGCTTCTTGGCA